TGGCCAGGGCTGAAGTACAGCATTTGGTTCAAATTCATCACACAGAAATATTTCCCCTGGTCCCGCGGCGTGAAAGATTTCACTGTCAAATAATAGACTGTGTTGTGTTTGCTCGCCTCAAATCGAGATGACCATTTCTGATTCCCCTGAAATGTGACTCGAGAAATGGAATTGATGAAGACGATGGCGTGAAGTTTCCCACTCTTGTCCTGGTGGATCCAGAATGCACCAATGTCCTTGTCAGCCCAACACTCCAGCTCCAGCTTCTGTCCCACCCGGAGCTGGTTGATGTCCTTGGGAGATCTGACCTTTATCTGAAGTGACTGGCCAAAAATCCCAGGGCAGCCTGCAGGAGAGAAATCCTTGCTGCAACCACTTGGGAAGAGTCAAAGGGTTCTCTGAGGAAAGCTCCCTCTTGTCCATGGGCTGGAAGGAGAAATGGCAAGGGAGGGCCACGCTGTGTGGATGATGTGAAGGTTTTCTTGGAGTCCTTGCTGGGATGGTGCATGGAGGGTGCTCAGCAATCAGCCACACGGGCTTTAAAGACGGGTGCAGCCCTTCCAGCACCTTCTCAGGGACATTACACCTTCCCAGCTTCTCTCAAGTGACTCCCTTTGCACTTCTTGCAGAGGCCCTTTACTGCCACCCTTCTCCCTCCCTCCTCCCAGAAGCGCTCATCGGATCAATCTCCCTTCCCAGTGCAGGTGGTGCTGCAGCCACCCCTCTGGCTGCCCTTTGCTGGCTGAGCTGCTGCCGCCTTTCCTTCCAAACTCACTGAGCACAGCTCCAAGTCAGCCTTTTTGACTTGTTTTTTACCCCCTTAATTATTTCACCCAATGCATTGGATTCAATGGAAGGGTTTTGCTTTTCCCTGCCGGTGAAGGGGCTGCACAGCCCCGTGTCCGTACTCACAGAATCCCAGAGCCAGCAGCAGGAGCAGGGCAGGAGACGTGTCCATCTTCTCCTGGGGTGTCTGTGCTTGGGGCTGGTGCAGCAGAGCTGAGATGATCTTTGTCACTTGGCTTGGGAGGCTGTGTCACTCTTTGGGGAGGATGTGATGTCATCAGGACCCTCTTGGGTAAGGAGGTGATGCTCGGCATCAGTGGCATAATGAGGAAAAGAAAATTCCTGAAGAAATTGGTTTCTTCTCCAGAGTTTGGGCTAATTTATCCTTATCAGTTCTTAACGGTACCTCAAGGCTTTTTCCTGGATGGCTTCCCTAGAGATCCAGAGAGGTGCTGCCCATGGCTGAGGTACGATCAGCCACCACAGCCTGCTGTCCCCAGCCCTCTGGGGATCCACAGCAGCTCCAGCAGTAGTTATGAACGAGTCCCAAGCTTTTAATACAGGCTACACTTCCCTTTTCTTGGCAGGGATTCTGCCTCCTTCTCTTTAGCACACACTCAAGGGGTCTGGTGGATGGCAGACTGTTACCCAGCAAGTGAGACACAGGTGTTCCATGACATAGATGTACACATCATTTATCTCCAAGCACACGTGCTGCTGGCACACAGCTGGGTTTTTCAGGTGCTTGATTGCTCTCTTTACAATTCTTTGTTTAATTCTTCTTTGCAGTTGCAAATCTCTTTGTGCAGGGCAGGTGGTCTGTGAGCAGAATTCTCATGTGAGTGCCCAATGTCCAGGGTGTGCTTTGCTTTTTATTTGTTTTAACAACCTGTGGCTCTCTCTCTCACCACTGGTGCTTCCTCTCTGCCAAAAAGAAAAACACCCTTGTGTGCCTGAATGGAAAGGGCCCTTGCTGCTGCCTCCAGGTGACCACTTGTACATGGGGATGGGTGATGCTTCCTGGAACTATAATCACACACAGTAACAACAATTTCACCAGCCCGCAAGGGGCAGGGCTGCTGTCTGGTTTCTTTCTTTCTTTCTTTCTTCCTGTCCTGTTGATTTCTTTTTCTTTTTTTTTTTTTTTTT